CAGCCAGTGCTTCAGCCCCTCTCCTCCTCCTCCTCACACCTTGCCTACTTGTTGTTCCGTCCTTTCGCTCTAAAACACCAGATGTGTTTCATATTGAAGTTTTTGGTGGGAAAGATACTGTTCAAAGGGCGAGCAGCAGCTCCTGGTGCCGTGTGCTGGGCTTTGGCAAATGAGCATGTCATCAGTAATTCATTTATTTTAGACGATCCAGACCTGAAAGATATTGACCCTACGATATTAAAACATTGCCATGCTGCGGCTGCAACGTGTATTCTGGAGGCAGGAAAGCAGAAAGCCGACATATCTGCTATAAGGTACCAAAAACCTTTGAAGCTACCCCATTTTTCTAGCCGTTGTTACTTTAAACTGTGCTGCTGACTTAAAGTTAGCAGAAAACTAATAAATTCTTTTTCCCTGTAGCACATGTCTAGAAGACTGTAAACTGGATAAAGAGAGAATAGAACAATTTTGCACCGAATATCAGGTTTTTAAAACACTTTTAATATACTTATGTTTTCTTTCTCTCATAGGAATTTATTAAATCTAGCTTTTTTTTTTCTTTTTCTTTGTTTTGTTTGTTTTTTTTTTTTCTCCAGAAAAACAAGGATGCATTGGAAATCCTATTGGGAAGGTAGGTCAATCAGTCAGCGCAGATACATAGTTCCAATTACAGCTACTTTGAAACTGCCCTGGAAAACACCTATACATACTTTAGGTGATTAAAGTAAGAAATATTGTTCCATTAAAAAAAAAAGTGCATTTTTAACAAACTTTAGAAAACAGCTGTTGAAACTTTTCTTCCTCCTTTCGGAATTCTGCTCTGAAGAAACTTTTTGAACTTTTCCAAATGCATTACAAGGATTGTGAAAAAGTTTCTTATTGATGGACAGCTTGAGAAAATGACATTTTCTTTTAGCGCAGGGAACTTGTAACTGTTGTGTCTTTCAGCATAGGCAGATCTCCTCTCCATATAACTGATGTGTCTTGGCGCTTGGAATATCAGATCAAGGTAATTTTAACCTATCAAGGTGTTTCTTTAGTCGGTTTCAGTACTGAGACCTGACTTTTTTCTGTGCTCTTTGTTTGTAATTTAGAGCAATCAACTTCATAAAACTTACCAGCCTTCCTACTTGGTGACCTTAAACGTAGAGGTACTGTACTCCTAGCACCCTCAGAGCAAAAAATGCAAATTCATGATTTTTTTTTAATAAAAGAAGCATTGTTGTTTGTTGTTTTTTTTTTTCCCTTCAGAACAGTGGTTCAGGATCACACCCAGATGTTAGATTTAGTTGCACAATGGAGCAATTACAGGTACTTCTTTCCTTTGTCATTGTTTCTATGCTTGGCTCCAGTTGTGGATGTAAATGTTTCTGATAACTTGCCAGTCAAAATGAAATCGTGTATACTATTATTAAAAAAAAAAAAAAATAAAAAAAAAATAAACCCAGGACTGGGAGGGTAGGGGGGAATCTTCTATAAAAATTATCCGAGTGTAGTTTTCCTGTCTTCTCAAATAAAGTTGCAAAGTTACTGATTTTAGTTGCATGGGGAGTGTTTTACACATGTGCATAAATATTTTGTCTGTTTTCATAACTGTAATGTATATATGAGAGGTAAATACGTCATTTTCCTGGAACTCTGATTTCCCGTGCCCTAGAGAAATGATTAAGGAAGCTGGTTCAATGATTTAAATGTGTCATGATTAGAAATAGAGAATGAACTGAAGGCTCTTCAATGGTGTTAATGACATGTAAGAAATGTACTGAAACAAACGTTGATCTTTGCTTAGCGATTTAAATGTGTAACTGAACAATAGAGGTATTGTAATGCTTGGAAGTGACCAAAGTCTGGAGGACTGGGAAGAGGGGTTGGGGGGGAGAGGAAAAATAAGGTATTAAAACTTCAGGTTTACACCTCTCCTTTTTTAATGTGTGTCTCAAAAGTTGTCCTTTACTTAAGAATGAGTGTTCTGAATCGTTTTGCTGACTTGGTTAAATCCAACGGGCTTTGGCTGGAGAACGGTCCTAGTGCAAAATTATGCTCCGAGTATTTTCAGTATTTTAGAAATGCATATAGTGCTTCAAAGCCTAGAGCTAATGTCAGCGTTAGCCATCCTAAACGATACCGATAAAATCTACAGTGTTAGCAGTAGTGATCTGTTTTTGTAGATTATGTATGTTAAAGGGTGTTTCCCTTCAGTCCCCACTTTTCTTCCTACTTGGTAAAATTGGGAGCTCTTTAATTACTTGCTGGCACTCTTCATCAGTTGCAACATTTCTTGTGGTATAAGGTGCCGTTTTCCCTTGACTCTCTGTATAAAAAAATTCCTACGTTCTACTAGCTGACCTTTTAAAAATGTGTTTATTCTAAGACGTATTTCATCTCTTAGGATTTAGTTGGAAAACTAAAAGATGCTGCAAAAAGTCTAGAAAGAGCGGCTCAGATGTGATTGAAGGAAGGTGTCAGCCTGCTGAGCTGAAGTGCTCTCATTCCTAAGAGTGTCTTCTAAATGACAAATGTCTTTCATCTCTTGATGCAAACTGGTTTGGGTTGTTTTGGGTTTTTTGGTTTGTTTTTTTTTTTATGTCCTTGGATGCGAATTAAGTGAAATAACTGTGTTTTATGACCGTACTTGGTATTCCTTGCTTGTGTCATTTTTTTTAATTAACTCTTGTTAAATATTTGCCTAACTGTCGTGTCTTCAAAGCATTCCTTCTATTTCATTTTGCGTATTTTTAGAATTGTCGCTGATTATTTTTCTCTGGGATCTAATAAAGTTTATTCGCTCCCGTTCTGCAATTTCTGTGGGCGCATGAGCTGTACCTAAAAGCTAGATGCTGAGCGCTAGATCAGCTCCGCGGGGCGAAAGCCCCTTTTCCCCCCGAGCCGCGG